CCTGGTCCGTTAGCACAATCACAGGAGAAATCGGTAGTTTCCCCTAGCAAAGTTTGCATTATTGAATGGTAGCAATGGCAATGACAAGAATGACTACATCAGGCACCTAACAACTTTGCAGCTAGCCTGGTCGACCACTTGCCAACGTTGCGTAGATGAGCCGCGCCAGTACTGCAAAAACGCGGCCTGCCAACACAGCAGGTCGACGGCGTGCCAACGCTGCAGCAGAATGGCTGTCCAGCATTGCACCCGTCGATGGCAGCAGTGCGCACACTCACAAGTGTGCGCAGACGATTGGCCCGACTTGCATCGTTGTGCATCCGTCAGCTGTTGTCAGCGCCTGACGAGCCACATCGACTTCGGGATACCTGCCCGAAGTCGCCTTTGCCTTCGCGGCATTGACGAAGTTCGTGTGTCTCCGCAGAACTCGCCGAGCAGGTTACCTGGTCGACCTAGTCGACCACCCAGTGCTCTGGTCGACGCCTCCCTAGTCGACCACAACTCCCGTCGAGGAACACCCTTGTCGACGAGCCCCTTCGTCGACCAGCAATTTCAGCTGCTCCTCCTGGTTGACGGCCCGTTTGTCGACCAGCCTAGTCTGCTGCAGCCGTCGAGCTCCCCCGGTCGACACCTACATCCCCGCGACAGTCCTGTGCAGGTCGACGACCATCATGTCGACCTGCCCTGCAGAGAAGGCTATTGAGCTCCCCTGGTTTACGCTAACACCACAACGATCTCGTGGAGCTCGACGAAGCCCGTTGAGCAGCTCCCTTACTGCATACGGTCAGCTGCTGCTCAACGAAGCCCGTCACCCGAACGAGGGTGGGCCCAACACTTTATTCCCGTTAACAAAAAGTAGCGCACTTAGTCTAAGTACCAACAACATGGTTAATTAATGCACTTACTCCTAGTGACAACTATACGGGAAGGTAGCGCACTTACTCTTAGTACCAACAACATGTGTAAGTAACGTATTTACTCTTAGTACAAACCAGACGGGTAAGTAATGCTCTTACTCTTTGTAGCTACAACATAGATAAGTAACGCACATACTCTTTGTACAAACCACATCGGTAAGTAATGGACTCAATCTTCGCACCAACCAAAAAGGTAAGTAATGCACTTACTCTTAGCACCAACATTATGGATAAGTAACGCACTTACTCTAAGAACCACCCACGTAGGTAATTAACACGCTTACTCTTAGTACGAACCACATCGGTAAATAACGCACTTACAATTAGTACCAACGACATAGATAAGTAACGCATTAACTGCTACTACCAACCACAAGGGTAAACAACGCGCTTATCCGTTGTACCAACTACATGGTAAGTAAGCCACTTAGATATTAAGACAAGAAGTAACACTACTAGCAATATAATCTGTACTAAAATCGAATTATGGGAGGACCTTAGTACCACCCACGTCGGTAAGTAACGCGCTTACTCTTTGAACAAACCACATGGGAAACTAGCGCACTACTTTTTAGTACAAACCACATGGGTAAGTAACTCACTAGCTCTTAGTGCCATCTACATAGGCAAGTAGTGCACTCACTCTTAATACCAACCATATAGGTAAGGAACGCGCTTATTCTTAGTACAAACCACATGGGTAAGTAACGCACTAACTCTTAGTGCCGTCTAGGGTAAGTACGCACTCACCATTAATACCAACTATATAGGTAAGTAACGCGCTTACTATAGTACCAACCACGTCGGTAAGTAACGCACTTATTTTTATTACCAACCACTTGCAAAAGGAGCGCCATTACTCTTAGTACCAACCACATGGGTAAGTAACTCACTTACTCTTAGTACCAACCGCACGGGTAAGTAACGCACTTACTCTTAGTACCAACGACATGGGTAAGTAACGCACGAACTCTTAGAACCATCAACATGTGTAAGTAACGCAATTGTTTTAGTACCAACAACATCGGTAAGTAACGTACTTACTCTTACTACCAACAACATGGGTAAGTAACGCACTTAATCTTAGTACCAACAATATGGGTAAGTAACGCATCTACTCCTACTACCAACATGGGTAACTAACGCACTTAATCTTAATACCAACAATATGGGTAAGTAACGCATCTACTTCTAGTACCAACCAAATAGGGAAGCACCACATGGGTAAGAACCGCACTAACTCCTAGTGCAAACCACAAGGGTAAGTAACGAACTTACTCCTAGTACCAACAACATGGGTAAGTAACGCACTTACTCATAGTACCACCCACGTCGGCAAGTAACGCGCTTAATCTTGATAACAACAACAGGATTAAGTAATGCACTTACTCTTTGGAACAACCACAGGGGAAAGTAGCGCACTTTCTCTTGGTACCAACAGCAAGGGTAAGCAATAGGAGCTGGTCTTCGGGCTAGGTATCGGGTAGGAGTGATTGTAGCGTTCGTTCCTTGTCGTTCACTTGTGCGTTCTCTACTTGCGCATTCACGGGGAAATTTCGCAGGAGTTTCACTAGCAAAAGTTCACAACAATGGTTCAGGATAGCTAGGCAACATTGACTACATGAGAGCTAGCATGCAAGCAGGACGACTGCCAGCGCAGCACGGTAGACCGCGTTCCAGCACGACTTGGTCGACTGCCCTCCAGCAGTGCAGAGTTGCACCCGCCAACACTGCAAGCCAACGGCGTGCCAAGGCTGCAGCAAGTCGGCTCCATAGCGTTCCACCCGCAGGACAGCGGTGCGCCTGCTTCGCATGTGCTCGTAGCTTATTGGCGTCCCGTGACCTGTCACCTGCAGAGCGCACACACCAGATCGTCCTCGTGCTGAAGAATGCGTCTGATCACCCATGCTACAGGGCCAGGGGAAACCAGTGGAACCAGCATTTGGCTGGTTGGGCAAAGACAAAACAGGTTCTGTTTTTAGGACCTGAACCTAGTTGTTGTTTTCCCAGGTTGGAAAAACATAACCAGAAGTTGTTTACCAACCTACCACCTGCTGTTTTGTCCAGCCAGGTTGGTTCTGCTGCTTGGAATAATTTGGGATCATCCCTGGTTGTTCCCAGGTTTATTCCCAAGGTCCTTGCTAGCTAGAACTATTTATTCCTTCTCTGTTTGTACCTGAATATAGTCAATTTGATTCAAGCAAATTCCTCCTTTCCTGGAATATCGTTTCTACGCGGTGCGACGGCGGAATGCTACCCGAGTCAACGCTAGTACGCTAGCACTCCAACGCTAGGCAAACGCTGTCCCAGCCATAACTTCGTAATGGCATAACTTTTCGCAAGGCAACTTGACTTATTTTAAAGCTCTTAGAGTGAGCTTCGATATAGAAAATTCTCAGCTTAATCCGGTCGACGGTCTGCACGATACGCTGCGCGACGTTCAAGGTACTCTTGCTGTTTTGACTAAGTCCCTCTTGATCCCTCTCTCTACAAACTCGGACCCAAGGATAGGGGCTGGTCTTGTACCACGCACCCAAGGACCCTTGGAGGTGACCCCGAGGAGAGGTTTTAAGTTTGAAAAAGTCTTAATAGCTTGAGTTTATTCGGCCCTTACACCAACAAGCTGGTATCAGAGCTGCGTTATAGTGATCCTCGATATAGGTAGCTATGGCGGGCAACACCTCGACGGGAGCTGGTGAATCTTTAACCCAAGATCGTAGCGGCAGCCATGATTCTGGTGTTTCAGCGCCAAGGGGAGCGCGAACAAACCAGGGCTCCCTGGTCAAGGAGGTGCTGAAGAATTTCACCGTCGAGAAGTTCAATGGAAAGGGCTATGATGATTGGGCCTGGAAAATGCAACTCTATTTCCGTCAGATTGGATTGCTGAAACTAATGATTGGGGAGGAGCCTAGACCGAGTGACCCCGCGCTGCAGGAAGACTGGGACGAGCGCTCCTCGGCTGGCTACTATTTGATGTCGCAGAGTTTTGAGCTGAACCAGCGTCACCACGTCATGCACCTGCTGCCGGAGGTTGAGTGCGGTCCGAAGGCGTGGATCGTGTTCAAGGAGCTGCATGCCCCGACCTCCGTTGTTGCAACATTGATGCTGAAGAGGGAGCTGTCCGCGTTGCGCCTGAGCGAGAGAGAGCTGGTGCAACCTGTCCTGGACAAATTGCGCAACCTCTACGCGAAGTTGGCGACCGCGGGAATCACCTACCCGGAGCAGACCAAGTGTTTGAAGATGCTCTCGCTGCTGCAGGAATCGTGGCTTCAATTCACGAGCGGATTGAGCCTGCCGCAGAACCAGAGCTCGTGGACACTCGAGTGGGTGCGGACAAAGATTCTAGAGGAGGACTTCTGTCGCCGTCAACTGAGGGGTGGAGACGACGGCAGTAGCGGCTACGGAATACAAGGGAGCCGACGTGGCAGGGGACGTGGCTTTGTTGGTGCTAGACACGGTGCAAAGAAGGACGATGACTCCAACGACCAACAAGGAGGTACCGGTTGGGGTCGCGGTGCGAAATCTGGACGTGGGGGCAAGTCGGGTGCTGGTGGCAAAATGAAAGGGAGTTGCTGGTATTGTGAGAAGGAGGGGCACCCATGGTTTTTGTGCTATAAGAAACCCGATGGATGGACCCCCCAGAATCGTCACCAGGATGGCGGCGCGCGGAGGAACCAGAAAAACGGCGCAAGCATGGTCGCCGATTCGTCCAACAACAACCCGAAGAGCAACGGCGGTGCGGAAAAGAAGAAGGAGCGCACCGCGGGCCAGTTCTTCCATATTGGAGAGCAGGGGGAGCAGAGGGAGCAAGAAGACGCTTCTGCGAAGGTTGGAGAAGAGCTGCACCCCCTGGATTATTGGGTGTTGGACACGGGCGCTGCTTGGACGACGACGCCGCGCAAGGACCTGCTGGACCACGTACGCGCTGCACCGATCAACGAGGTGTGCTTCGCCTTTGGACACGCGCTAAGGGGCGTAGCAGAATGGGCTTCCCCACAGTCTAACGGTGTAGCAGAACGGGCAAACCGGACAATTCTGGAGACAGCTAGGGCGCTGCTCATAGAATCTGGGCTGGGCAACTTGATGTGGCCCCATGCTGTTCGGCACGCTACCGTCCCTAGGAACAGGGTACTCACAAAGGTTGGGGATGACTTGTGGGTGCCGTTGGAGAGGTGGCTTGGGAGGAAGCCACCGGTGGACACGCTGAGGGTGTTCGGTTGCATGCTAGTTGCCCACATCCCCAAGACCTACCGCAGTAAGTTGGGGGCGAGTGCAATCTGGTGTGTGCATTTGGGGCTGGCTGTTGAGAGCAAGGGATGGATGCTGTGGGAACCTTCCAAGGGTGTGTTGTTTGACAGCAGGGATGTGAAGTTTGTTGAGGGCATGATGTATGGGAGCTGGGAGAAACAGCCGGAGGCCAGGGTGTCCCAGCAGATGGAGCAGATCACCATGCAGCTGGACCTGACTCCAAGTGTGTGGGAGGAGGGAGAGGAGGCAGCTGCAGAGGGTGGTGATGCAAAGAAGATGCAGGAGGCACCTGCTGGTGGAGGTGATGGTGTGGAGACTAGCGGTAGCACTAATGGAGCTGCTGGATCCGAGGGAGGAGAGCAGCAGCAGGGGAAAACTAAGAAGCCGGAGGGTGTTGTTATGAGGGGATGAGAGACACCCGTCTCCAGGCCAGGACGTACCCGTATGGCTACTAAGAAGCTGACTGCAGGAGCTGATGTAGCGGAGCAGCAGCTTGGGACCGAGGAGGCCTTGCTGATTCTACCGCATGGCTATGATCCGGATGAGGAGGATGAACCTGCCTACTATTTTCTTGCCCCTGCACCAGAGGAACCAGCTAGCAAGGAGGAGGCGTTAGCTGGACCAGATAGGGAGAAGTGGCTGGTTTTGGGGGATGATGAGTACCAGAGCCTGCTAGAGAATGGGACATGGGAGCTGGTGATGCTGCCTGAGGGGAAGAAAGCCATACAGTGCAAGTAGGTGCTAAGGATCAAGACTGATGACCATCTACAAGAGTAGGCTGGTGGCTAAGGGGTTTATGCAGAAGGAGAAGCGGGACTTCAATGAGATCTTTGCTCCCACTGCCAAACCCCCTACCCTCTGTGTCTTGTTGGCAGATGCAACCATTAGTGGGAAATTCATCATTCAGATGGATATATCAACGGCATTCCTCAATGGGATTTCAGAGGAGGATGTGTACATGACGCAGCCGCCTGGGTATGAGGATGGTACGGGCAGGGTGTGCAAGCTGAAAAAGTCCATCTACGGCTTGAAGCAGGCGCCACGCTGCTGGTACCAGAAGTTGGCAGCTGTTTTAGAGGAGATGGGATTTAGGACCAGCAGCTGTGATGAGAGCCTCTTTCTCAAGGGGGAGGGGGAGAAGCTGGTGCTGATTCTGGTCTATGTGGACGACATTCTTCTCTTTAGCAGCAGCATGAAGGAGATCTAGAATGTGCAACAGCAGCTGATGGAGAACTTCAAGTGGAAGAACCTTGGGGAGGTAAACTACTACCTCGGGATGCATGTGGAGAGGGATCTGGATCACAGGTGGTTGAAGCTGCACCAGGAGAAGTTCATCAAGGAGCTGGGGGAGAAGTACGGGATTGAGAATGAGCGCAAAGTTGCAACTCCCCTGCCAGCAAAATTCAAGCTTGTAAAAGCTGCAGAGGATGAAGGGGTTGAAGCCGAGGAGCAGCAGCAATTTCAGTCCTTGGTGGGCAGCCTCTTGTATGCAGCACTTCACACGAGGCCCGACATCTCTTTCTTGGTTGGGCAGCTGGCTAGGGTGGTGCAGAATCCATCAGAGGAGCAGGTGGATGCAGCTGAACAGTGTGGTGAAGTATCTGAACTCTCACCCAAGCATTGGAGTTCAATACTCCGCATCTGCACAAGTGAAGCAGAAAGGGGTTGAGGTGCTGAAGGAGAAGGGGGAGAGGCTTGGAGAAGGCAAGCTCTTTCTCACTTGCTTTACCGATGCTACATGGGCCTCTGAGAAGGAGGATTCCTCATCTGTGGGAGGATACATCTGTGTAGTCGGAGGAGGACCTGTTAGATGGAGGTCAAAGAAGCAGACGGAGACGGCCCTCTCTTCTGTGGAATCAGAGTACATGGTGATGTTCCATGGGGTGAAGGAGGTGATTTGGCTGAGGAGGATGTTGGAGGAGATTGGCCAGGAGCAAAAGGTTGCTACGCCGCTGTTTTGTGATAGCAAGGGAGCTCTTGGGATGGCCAGGAACGCTGTGCTTCATGGGCTTAGTAAGCACATGCGTATCAAGTGGCACTGGCTGCGTAAGGAGGTGAAGAGGGGGACGGTGAATCCGATCTACATCAAGACTCACCAGCAGCCAGCAGACTTCCTCACCAAGAGGCTTGCGGATGAGCCTCATTGGCGTTGTGTGCGCATGAATGGAATGAGCATGAACTAGTATGGAATGATGGGGATGGAGCCGGCAGGCTGACGGGGAGTGTGTTGAGTGCAAATTTACATTGCACAACATCTTGCCGTCTGTTTGTATGAGTATGCATGTGCGAATGCACTTGGGTGTGAATGGAATGTTCGTGTGTTTGTTTGCTTTTGCTAATTTTGCTTGATGCATTTGCAGGTACTCGCGCAATGTGCGCTTCAGCACAACACTGTACGCGCTATGAACAGTACAAGCAGAAAGGACGAGCTTGCAAAGGAACCCAAGATGGAAGCTTTGCGGTTCAACTTACTTGATTGTGCAGATTCAGTTCTATCCAACTCGAAATTGTACTGTTTTGTTTGGTTGACTATAGTGTAGCAGGGCAGGCACTATAGAGGTACAATTTAGGTGAAGGTTGGATGTTGTTTGTCTGTATCTCCATGCTACAGAGCCTGGGGAAACCAGTGGAACCAGCATTTGACTGGTTGGGCAAAGACAAAACAGGTTCTGTTTTTAGGACCTGAACCTGGTTGTAGTTTTCCCAGGTTGGAAAAACAGAACCAGAGGTTGTTTACCAACCTACCACCTGCTGTTTTGTCCAGCCAGGTTGGTTCTGCTACTTGGAATTATTTGGGATCATCCCTGGTTGTTCCCAGGTTGATGGAACAAGGTCCTTGCTAGCTAGAGCTATTTATTCCTTCTCTGTTTGTACCCGAACATCGTCATTTTGATTCAAGCGAATTCCTCCTTTCCTGGAATTTCATTTCTACGCGATGCGACGGCGGAATGCTACCCGAGTCAACGCTAGTACGCTAGCACTCCAAGGCTAGGCAAACACTGTCTGAGCCATAACCTGGTAATGGCAGAACTTTTCGCGAGGCAACTTGGCTTATTTTAATGCTCTTGGATTGAGCTTTGATATAGGAAATTCTCAGCTTTATCCGGTCGATGGTCTGCACGATACGCTGCGCAACGTTGAATGTACTCTTGCTGTATTGACTAAGTCCCTCTTGATCCCTCTCTCTACAAACTCGGACCCGAGGATAGGGGCTGGTCTTGTACCAGGCACCCAAGGACCCTTGGAGGTGACCCCGAGGAGAGGTTTTAATTTTGATAAAGTCTTAATAGCTTGATTTTAATAGGCCCTTACACCAACAAAATTTACGCACTTATTCTTTGTACCAATCATATTGGTAAGTATCGCACTTATCCTTACTACCAATAATATGGGTGAGTAACGCAGTTGCTCTTAGTACCTTCCACGTAAGTAACGCACTTGGTCTTATAACAAACCACACGGGTAAGTAACGCACTTACTCATAGTACCAACGACATTGGTAAGTAACGCACATACGTATAGTTCCAACAACATGGTCAAGTAAGGCACTTACTATTAGTACCAACCACGTGGGTAGGTAACGCATTTACTCTTAGTACAAACTATATGTGTAAGTAGCGCACTTACTCTTAGTTTGAACGACATTGGTCAGTAACACATTTACTCGTAGTACCAATGACATGGTTAAGTTAAGCAGATACTTTTAGTACCATGGACATTAATAAGTAACGCACTTACTCTTAGTACCAATAGCATGGGTAAGATACACACTTATCTTAGTACCAACCACATTGGTAAGTCACGCATTTAGTCTTAGTACCAACCACATAATGCACTTAAGTACGTACATAAGTACGTAATGCACTTAATCTTGGTATTAACCACATCGGTAAGTAACTCCTTTACGAGATCGGTAAGTAACTCGCTTATTCCTAGTACCAACTACATTGGTAAGTGACGCACTTACTCTGAGTACCAACCACATCGGTAAGTAACACACTTTTTCCTTGTACCAACGAGATAGGTAAGTAACGCACTTATTCTTAGTACCAACGACATGTGTAAATAATGCACTTACTTTTAGTACCAACAACATATCTCAACGCATAAAAACTTGTTTGAGATTACGGACGGGGTCTACGAAGATTAGGGGTAGAAATATCTCAAAATCGTTGGACTATATTTTTGGACAGAAAAGTTGACTTAACAAGAAATTCCGTCGACAAATATTGCACTGTTAAACTTCATTGATTTCAGATATGTTGTAGCCCTAGACCGTGGCTACAATTCCCAATATGATTTATGAATTTTGTATCAAGGTTCACCCAAGTTCCGCACAAGAGAATTAGAGTACCAAAAGACCAGGTAGGAGGGGATGATGAGGACAAGAGGGAAGGTCCCAAAAGAGTCCCCAACCAAGGAAACCCCATACCATACAATTCCCTTCTCTATAGGCACCCAACTTTGACCATTGTCACTTTCCCAACCCATGCCATCCACCCCACCCAACTTGTCAACACTTGCCAACCTGGTTCGGCTTCTCCCAACCACTTGGCAACAATCCACAATAGAGTGACGAATTCCTCCAACCCCCAGAAGTCTATACCCCTTATTGACTTACTCCGCAATTTCCCGTAGTCGCCGCATCACAATCAAAAACTTCGATCAATCATATCTTGCTCGTTCTTGCTCTGATCACGGCGATTCTTGGTTCGTCGGAAAGCTCTCGAGCAGAGGAGTTTTTTCTGACATCTGCTCAAGCAGAAAAAAATCACACACAGTCAGAGAATACAAACCATACCAAACACAAATTCTTGCACACGCTCACACCACGCATGCAACGCATGAATATATGATGGGATTCAAACAGACGTGAATTCAAATGATAGCACCACATAACGAACTCACTCTTCTGGCTGCCAACTATCATCCCACATGCCTCAGCCTATGCATGCACCGGCAAGTTTCATGCCTTTCCAGTGCTCATGTTCAGCCAGGCGCTTGGAGAGAATATGAGCCGTCTGCTGCTGGGTCTTCACTATCTCCAACCACACCTCTTTGTCCAGGAGCTTCCTCACCCAGTGCCACTTGGGCCTGATGTGCTTTGTCAGCCTATGAAGACAAGCATTATTGGCCAACTTCAGTGCTGACTCGTTGTCTCAGAATATGCCAGTCGGCTCCTTCTTGCACATTCCGATCTCCCTCAGCCACACCACCTCCTTAGCTCCATGATGCAGGGCCAGGTACTCTGTCTCACATGAAGATAGCCCCACCTCATTCTGCTTTGCACTGCACCAGCTTACTGCACCACCACCAAACAGAACACATAGCCTCCAATGCTGGTGCCATCCGTCTTCACAGAGTTAAAGCTAGCGTCGGTGTAGCAGGTCTAGAGCATCCCCCCCTTGTCCAACTTAGCTGCACCCCTTTGCAGCCTGTGTCTCACAGCGCTATACTCCAAGCCCACTGATGCTGTAGCACTCACACCGCGGACCAGCCTCTTGGCTGCTTCCAGCTGCTCATAACTAGGGCGTGAAACCAAAATGGCAAGCCTGGATGTTGCAAAGACAATGTCAGGCGGCCGCGTGTAGTTAGCCGCATAGTTGAGTGCCCCAACTATGGAATGGAACAGCTTCTTATCACTCTCACCCACCACGTCCTCATCAGCATTAGGGCTCCACAGCGAACCCCGAAGGCAGCGGGGTTGCTGGCTTTCCTCCATCTTGCAGCCCATACTTCTCAGCCAGCCCCTCACAATACTTCCTCTGGTGGAACTTCAACACTCCCTTATCAAGGTCTCTCTCTACATGCATCCCAAGGTAATATTGCATATCTCCCATCTCAGAACACTTGGACTGCATTTCCAGCACCTCCTCCATACGGTCATTCATAGTAGACGATTCCGAGAAGAAAAGGATATTGCCACATACATCAGGAGCATGAGAAACTGCTCCTTGTCTTGTAGCACGAACAGGCTGTGATCACACTCTCGCTCTTCTTGAAACTCCCAGCCAGCAGTGTCTCCTCCAGCTTGTGGTACCATGCGCGAGGAGCCTGCTTCAAGCCATAGATGGCCTTCTTGAGCTTGCACACCCTGCCGCTCCCATCATCTAACCCCTCAGGTTGCTGCATCTACAGCTCCTTCCGAATGATCACATTGAGGAAGGCAGTGATGATGTCCATCCGCTTGATCCTCCATCCACGGTT